TCTCAGAGGATGGTAAATATAGATTACCTATTACTGTATCCTTAACACACTTCCTTAACACTTACACTCTTTTAATAATATTATTATTTTTGGTAAATTCTATACTTAAGTAGAACACAAAACCTACCTCAGCACTATTTGGTTAGAAAGCAGTCTGAGCAGGCTGTTGATGTTATTTTTCCCCCACCAAACACGAGTACTGCAGAAAATGCATGAGCATTTTTCCTTCCAATATTTCCTTCCACAACTCCCGGGTATTCACCGTGTTTCCCTTCACCTCCCTGAGATGCTGCGAAGGGGAGGCTGAGCCTTTAGGGGTGAGGACCCCAAGGGGAAAGGGTGTGTCTGGGATGTGCTAGCCTTTGCCAACAGACTCAGGAAGTCGCTCTGACATCAACTCTCAGAAGTAGCAGCTCATGCAAAGGCTCCAGCAAAGGGGCAAGGGGCAGGAATTAGTGGGACTATCAACAGGAAGCAATTAGAGGAAGTCTGGGGAACAGAAAGAAATGGGTGAAACAGAAAACCCTAAAGAACTTCAGGCTACAGAAGAATGGCCCGGAGCACTCGCATACGTTGTGCTCAGTTGGAGCTTTTACAACATGCAGGCCAATTTACAAGCCCATTAGAAGCAAGGGCTAAAAGAAAATGAGACTACTCTTCTTCATTTATTTAACAGTAAGATGTCCCCTTCTCTCCTGATGCTCTTCTCTATCTCAGTTTTGTTGTTTTTTTTTTTTAAATAATCATGCTAGAGAATTTGGTATTACAGGTGGCAAATCTAAAAGGTACAAATTGACAGACATGACGGAAATTCCCAAATCACTCTTATTAGGGGGTATATGTGTAATTCTCTTACTCTGGAGACTAGAAATTCAGCTTCCATTTTTCAAAGCTTATAAAGACAGCATAATACTGTGCAAAAAAATGTGTTTATTTTAGTCTTTCCATTTCTTCCTAGGAATATGTGACTCCGGTGCTCAGAACAGTTATTCTGAAAAGGGGATCGATATATACACAAAATTCAAGAAACCTTTGTTATTGTGAGCCACACAAGCAATGCAGAATGATGCCTCCCTAACTTTTGTGAACCTCCCCTTCCCTACCACACAGATGTGAGATGAATTTAACCAGTACAGGGAGACCATTTCATTGCCAGTTGCATGTCACCCAAAAGTAATAAACAAAATGAAACTGATGCGATCAGTAAATGGTGAATTTCTAGGTAGATTCAGCACTCAAGCCTGCTTCCCACTTGGGAATATGTGTAAACATAAATGGTCATAAAATGATGTGATTATAAGAGGCAAAACCACCAAAACCACCATCTTCCCCAGAACACCAGGGCAGGCTGCTCACAACGAAGGTACAAAGCAAACCACTCAAAAGGAAAAGCAGAGAGAACACACACAGTGCAGATTTAAAAAAAAAAAAAAAAGTATCAGTAAATCCCCAAACTCTATTGATAGTTCTACAAAGTCTTTTTTAAAACAAATTGTTTCCTTTTACACATTTACTTACATACATCATAGACTTTCAGCATGTATTTCTAAGGATTAAAGAAAATAGCCTAGTCTCTCCATGCCATCCCCTATCCAATTCTCGTCAGAACTTCCTGGTTTGGTTTGGTTTTTTCACTAACAGCTTAAGGCCCACATACGAGAAGCCCAGGTGTATATTTGCTCTGTCCTTAGTCACTCAAATATTTACTGAGTGCTCACTCAGCATTTTAGGTCATGTAGATTCCCCAGAAAAAAAAATAATAATCCTTGCTTTCATGAAACTTACAGTCTAGTTAAGGAGATGGATCATTAAAAAATAAAAGTGCTTAAAAAAATAAAGTAAGCTAGAAAACAGACAGGGATAGGGTGGATGCTACTTTACACAGGTCAAGGGAGGCTACTTTGAAAAGGTACCTTGAGAAGTCCTATTTCAGGAAGCAGAGAAACTTAGGAAAGAAATATGGATCACCACCTCCTTGCTTATATACTAAGCAGTATTTGAGTACGAAGGTGGACACTTTTTAAAGAGTTAATTTCAAAAGTGGCTCATATTTCATTTTCAAAAAGACCAATGGCTGTGGGTCTTAAAATATAAATGACTAAAACTGTATTCTTAACACTAAAATGAATACCTTTGAACTGTCGCATGGTGCCTGAGAGGGTCCTGGGGAAAGAATATCTTGATTGCAACAGAAATAATAATTCTTTTTTTAGCCATAATATTGTGCTCAGCATTTTAAAAACAGGTGTAAATAAAAGTTGTGCCAAATCATTGACTTTTGGAAGCCAAATAGGAAGACATGAAGGTCCACTCTGCCTCATCCAAGACTGATACTTTATGCAACATTAGCCATTGGGAGTCAGAAGAACCACCAAAGCTCTTCTAGCTCAACTTTCTCATGTGACTCAACATAAAATGGGCCCTCAGGGCTTTGGGAGGCCCCAGGTTAACTAGTTAACTGCGGCATCCTGTGTGAAAACCCTGTCTCATTTCTTGTATAAGGTACCACATCTTCAAGCCGGTCTGAGACACTTTGAGGAGCAAAGTCCATCTGTTAGAGAAAGATGGTGGCACATCTGAGAGGGTGTTCGGAGGGACAAGAAGAGGTTTACTGCAGAGGTAATGAGTTTGGGGTACAGTCTGCAGGAGTGCTGAGGAATGACACCATGAATTCAATGGCTGTGCTGATTATTACTCAAATGTTCACATGCCCACCATCATACCCCATCTACGTGCACGGACGCATTCTCTGCAAATCTCCTGCCTTCCCTGCTATAGTGGCAAAGGACTCGGGGCACCCAAGTAAGGGGGAAGTATAAACTCAGCATTGTAAAAAAGCATCAAGAATTTTAAAAGTTACTTATTTTAAAATTTACTAAGACAACTGGGACATCCCCCATCCCCACCACAGTCCAAGCAAATGCAATTTGGAAGATAAAGTTCTTAGTTATAAAGGAGTTCATTAGAATTTAGAATTTTCTTCCTCTCTCTTAAACTGCCATGTTTATAGAAGGATTTTAAAATGACTTTAAGTTGGCCATGGGGCATCTTAAAGTTTACATTCAGAACTTCTTTGAAAACCCCACTTATGTTTAGGGCTTGACATGGTGCCATGAGAGCAGCGCAAATCAATGGTTAAAAAAAATAAAAACCCACAAGGTTCACAACAAATGCTATCCTGATGATAGCACAATACTGTACTGTTCATTTAAATGTAATATGAAATCTAAACCACTTTTCCACAAGACACTTGTTTCCCAGGATAAAAATGCCTTAAAGAACATCACCAGAAGGACATTCTAACAACCACCTGATTAAGAAAATAATTTCTAGTAAAACACACTACTACTGTAGCATCCAAATCCAACAGGGCCTGAAATTATTCCTTAATAGTGGCAGAAACTTTCATAATAAGAGATACTTTTTATTAAGTATTAACATGCCTTACACAATGCTCTGCCCTTTATGGGGACCCCAAACCAAGGTGTCAACTGATCAATAAAAAAGTAGCATGAACCAATCCACAGACTCACAGAATAACACTTCATGGGGGTTAATGACTTGCCCAAGGCTGCGAATTTGCTTGTCCTTGACAAGGGGACCAGGAATAGAATTCAGGTCAATTGATTCCCGGAGCTGTGTACTTTCTCCTAGAACCAATGTGCTCATATGTATAAAATAGAAATGCATTAAAACACCAGCACCTCTCATAGTCCACTCACTATGATGTTCTGGGATATTTTGAATTTAATAAACGTATTTTAATATGACTATTTAACCCATTTATATGGAAAGATACGCATACTTTAATAAAAACATTTAGAAAACCATGAAATTTTAAAAATTCAGTGGAAATTTTTCTTTTCAATGTTAATTCTTTTTCTTCCTGATATATGTCTTCATTATTACTGCACCTTGCTTTTCAAAATCTCTTATGAAACTGGGGAAAAATAGGTAATAAACAGCTGGAAAATGTTCCTGACTGAGTTATTAAGAAGCTGTAAACTTAATGTATAAAGTCATTTATATATACATATACACATATATGCATTTATGTATATATAATATACATACACAAATATATATTAAGTGTGTGTATGTATACATTAAGTATATCTACACATTGTGTGTGTGTGTGTGTGTGTGTATAGATATACCTAGTAGAAGTTGGCTCTTCAGCTCTAGAATTTGAAGGTAATATGTTCCTAGGCCACGCTGGGTTTCCTATAGCTGTATTCTTTCCTGGTCAAACTCTTCTAAACCTGTTTCGGTGACATGGTTTGGAAATGAGGTAAAATCTCCAGAAAGCAGAGCTGTTCAAACCCCTGTCGTGGCAGATAAGCCCTTTGAAGCCCATTGTGTACTGTCTCTTCAACCACTTGGTCCTAAAAGGCCTCCTGAAAAGTGACCAGCAGCTGACCTGCAGGGACTACTTGACCAATCTCAAAACCTCAACCAAGCAGCCTCATAAAAACCAGTAAATCAGCCAATTTTGAATATGAGAAGCACCCGAAACAACTGATTATACTTGTTATATACCTCAAGTTTTTGAAAGCCAGAAAAATCCATTCCAATTAAAAACTTTACATAAATAAAAAGAACTGCTGGTGGTAATCCTGGTTGCTAATTCTCAGCCTGGAGACTGTGACACGCCCCCGCTCCGCCCGCAACACACACACCAACCTAAAAGAATTGTGAGAATGCTGTAAACTCGATCCTATTCGACTGTACCAGAAGGAAGGGCATTCCTACAATGAAAGAATCCCTGTATTCCACTCTTTTATTCCAGAAAGAGAAAATGAGAAGTGGCCCACAGAAGCTGAGAGGAAGGCAAGTTCGCAAGAAATAAAAACAGAACCTGTCCCCTAAAAAAAGAAATTAATTGAATGATCCCCTAGCACTAACACGAACACCCCTTCACCACCCCGGCTCAGTGGCATCCAGTGATTCACAGCTCCTTGCAAGGCGAGCCACCACAGGTGCTGCTCTTGCTAACTTACAACATTCACTGTGCGCTGATCACGGGAAGCCCCAGCCTTCCGTCACCGCGGGCACTTCACACGAGAAGCTCCTGGGCTCAGGCGTGTTCTTTCCTCCTTTGAGAGAGAAGTGAAAAAAACCTAGAATGGGAGTAGAACAGAAGAGAAAGAAAAAGGTAAATGCATCATCGAATCCCTCATTATTTCAACAAATGGAGTTCACAATGAATTAGACTATGTGACCGTTCACCAAAGACTATTTTCTAGTACCTTTTTGTAAAAAAGAAATTTAATAGTTTTGCTCCTGCCCCGGGAGACACAGCAGCGTGGCCCACCAGCCTCTCTCTGGTTCCTCCCTGCCCTCCCCCGCTGCACTAAAGTTGAAGCCAATTCTGGGAGACTTCAGGTGCAGCCTGGCTGAGATGCAACGTGCAACATAGCCTCAAAGGAAACCACTTGGTTTTACTCTCTTCAAAAAGGAGGGAGCTGGGACCTTTTCCATTGTCATACCTCCCTGAGTTGTTGGGAGGATCAATAAGATCACTCTTGCAAAGCACTCACAGCTCCTGAGAAGAGCGGCACTATGTAAACTGAAAATATTATTAGTGGTCACATGCCTGCTACTGAGCTCTGAGCCAGAATATAAAAGCCAGCCTTGGCTAGCCACCAACAGTCAACCATCCCTGGGACACCCTAATGTCTATGCATTTGCAAGGGCCGCCATGCTAAGATTCCTCCTTCCTGAGAGGGGTTGAGAGAAGCAGAGGCCGGCCAACAAGGCTACTGAAATCTCAGGAAGAAAGACATTGAGGGCCTGGAGCAGGAAGGGAAGAGGGAGGAAGACCGGAAGGTGGTGAGAGTAGCATATGCAGGCGAATCATGACGCGGTCCAGGCCGCACAGCTCCCTCCAACCGCGTGTTGGATGCACTGGAGGTTTACGGGGCTGTGAAATTTTCTGCCTGGCTGGCTGCCATCACCACCCACCAAGGATAACACTTACACACACAAGTGGCACGCCGAGGACCTGCTGGAGAAGGACTGGATGATTTTTGTCTGTTGCTTTTTAAAGAAAAGACCTATTCATATTCTGATCGTTAATATTTTCCACACCTGAATTTTTAATTTTTCTGCTCCTTGAAGACAGAGCCAGAAACAGCTTTTTCTGTGCCAATATTATTTCGACTGGCTGGGAATACTTGAGGAGTATACTAGAGGTATAGGAACATATGTGAGCGGCTTTGGGGGAGAGAGAAAACAGAATTTAAGTGCTACACTGGATCCTGTTTGCTTCCCAAATAAATCATCCCCAAGGGCCTCTCAAGTCATACACACAAGCTGAGCAAAGGAGGGAGTCAGAGCATTAACATTGTGAGAGAAAAAAGTGGTCCCTTATCTCAAAAAAAGGCAACAATGATTAATGTCAAACCTTAGATTTGGAATTGGTAAAATACTGACAAATCCACCTCAAAATAAAGAATTAAAAATAAGAGAGAAAAAATGAGGACAGAAGAGAGAAAGGAGGTGTCTGGCACTGATATAATTAAGAATGGCTTTTATACTGAATAGAGTTTACAAAGTGCTTTCTTATTAATTCATTCAATCACTTGCCAATTTTTTTCCTTGTTGCTTAGTATATCCACCCAGTTCTATATTTATAGTGGTGAACAAAAAACAATAACTACGCCTTTACGGAGCTCACCACCTCAATAGGGACAGACATTAAAGAATCACAGGATACCCTTTTTAGTGTATGTATAAAATTTGAACATTAGCACTGTGATTTGCAATCATAATGGGTACCCCAGTTAGGAGGAGGGGCTGAGAATGTTTCTCTTACAAAAGTTAACATTTAAACAGAGGAGTGAAAGATGAGTAGAAGTTAGCCAGGCATCGAGTTTCCAGACGGAGGAAGCAGCCTCTGCCTTGCACAATGTGACCTGGAGATGTACAACTAACTACTTCATCTTTGCCTTCCCCCTGGCCACTGCAATGGGGTCTCCTGGATCAAAATCAAGAAATGAGCACCAGACTTAATGTTATCAACTAGAGTTGCTGTGATGATCACTTCGCAATCTATAGATGTTACCAAATCACTGTTGTGCACCAGAATCTAATATGTTATACAGCAATTATATTTCAATTTGGAAAAAAGAAAAGAAGTAAACAACAGAACTGTTCTTAATCTCTTGAAATAAAAGCTGAGTCTCCTTCCTGACTGCCAGGGCCATCGGAGCAACAAAACCTTAGTGATTGCTGCAGGAGGCACCCCACCCAGCGCAGGTATTAAACTCAATGAATGGCAAAGGCCAACTCTGACTTCCTAATGCATCTCAGGTCACCGCATCAGCACAAGAAAGAGGAGCTCTCCGTTAACACCTGCAGACTACAGCTGGAGTTAAGAAAACCCTCCCCAAAAGAGCTAAAAACAGACCACATTACATGTAAATGTCAGAAAAAAATCTTTTTTAGTACTTTGCATTAGGTTTCAAATCTGCTGGCTTCCTCTGGACTACCGGATCTTTTTTTATTTCTCTCACGGACTGAAATGACATTTATGTCCATCTACCTAATACTGTAATATTGTATGTCAACTGCAATTGAAAAATTAAAAATTATTTTTAAAAGTGTGTCTTGGAAAATTTCTGTCTTGGTTCTTTGATTTGGTTACCTGTTTACTTATTCACATGGGTAGTATGATGCAAAGAAATAAAACGTAGTAGAAATGCTGTGTTCATCTGAAGTGTTTTCTTGTTTCCCAAATTCCAGATCTGGTACAATTTAATTCTTCCACTAAGGAAAATCAGTAATTTGCTTTCCTCATCCTATGAAAGAGGCTTCCTCAGACAGAGGCTTCCTCAGACAGACTCATTCATGTGTTCTTCCCGTGAACGGAGTAAGTTGGAAAATCTGTTTGAAACGAATAAGCCAAACTTTCATCTGAGTCTCTTTCCATTTAAGACACCCAGGATAAAATGTAATTTCTCCTACAAGTTTCTCATAAAACCAGAAATATTAATAATACTCCAAGTTCAGTCTTAAAATACAAACCCTCACTTTGACTTGGTAGTTCTGACAAACTAGAAAACTCAGAAAGAAAAGAGAGGGCAAGAAAAGAGACTTCCTGAAGCCACGTTATCCAATACCCCGCCACCAGATCTGGGAAATACAACCTCGCTGACAGTTTCATCCTCCGTCCAGAGAAGAAAATGACACAGAGCCAATTTCCCCTTCCCCTGACTGCCCGCAGCACTTACAGCCTCTCTCACGTATTTTTAACTCAAGGTCCTTTTCAATTCAGCACTCTGTTATATTGTCTTTTTATATTCCGTGGATTTATTTAAGTCTTGAAGGCTTGAAAAGCTTTTAAGCTCCTTGATGAAAGAAACCTTGCCCTGCCCTTCTGCAGCCTCCTAAGAGTGCCTACCAGGAGAGCCTGAATTTAAATTAAATGATCCATGTCCAAAACCTGTTCTATGACTTAACCTGTATTCCAACAGAATTATTACTCTCTAACTATAATTTAAACCCTTCCCATTGTCCTCAGTCCTCCAGGGACTTGGAGCTCCTATGATGCCTACCATCCAAATGCAAGTCCTCCATGAACTGGAGAACAATTCCGCTATCACTTAGCTTTCCCTCTTCTGTTCTTCAAGTCATGAGAGGCTTTTGAACAGCTGCCCTCCCCTTTCAAGATTTACAACCCTCTACCCCCTCCCAGGTCACCAGGAACCTAGGTCCTTGATCCTCACAGCTTTTCAAAAGCCACTCTTAAGGAAACCCTCGAGGTACGGATGTGATGCTTCTCAAACCTGAACCACCATCAGAAAAAACTGGAGGTCTTGTTCAACCCCAGTGCTGGGTCCCATCCCCAGAATTTCTGCTTCAGTAGGTGTGGGGTAGGACCAGAGCACTTGTGTTTCTATCCAGTTCCCAGGTGATGCTGATGCTGCTGGTCCAGGGACAGTACTTTGAGAACAACTGCTCTGAGGCTAAGTCTTTCTGTCAAACAGGTAGCCAGACAGAGGCTAAGGATCTTCTGAGTATACTTAGTCACTCACAAGAGTAGGCTACATTGGAAGGACTGATACCTGTCTATTCCAAAAAGGAGACAGATCACCAAAACAAAACAAAACAAAACAAAACACCAGTAAAGCTCACACACATTATAATCCAGGAAAACTTTTGGTGGTTCTCACCTTGGGTCTTAGTCTGTTTTCTGCCTACTGGCTTCAGGTCCTATTATGATCAATTTGGACTTCTGTTGCTCCTTCCGTCTTTTTCCTTTACTAGAAACTTCTTACAAATCTATCAGTCGCTGCCATTCCCGAGAGGCCTTCCCCACACCTCAGTACATCCCCAAAAGGCTGTCACCTTTCTCCCGTTCACCAACAAACATGCCAACCTGTAGTATAAATTCAGTGCCAGTATTTTACCAGGTACATCCTAAACTCTTGGAGTTTGACTTGTACCATCTTTTTTTTAAAAGGTAAACTTCCTTTTCTTTCTTTCAGAATGACTCCCTGCCTTCTAAATGCAGTGGCCTTTTCCTAACTGACTTCTTTTATAGTATTTTATATAGTAGCAGTTCCTTCGATTCTCTTTTCTTTTTGTTTAGTATACTAGCATTTTGCCTAGACAGCATCTTTTGGAAACCTCTCCCCCCACCCGCTTCGTTATTCGGGCTGAGCGGACTTCATGCCTTGGCTCCGAAGATGGGCATGTGACCTAAGTCTGGAGAATCAGAATACACACCCCTCATGCCAAGACGACTGGTTTTAGGGATAGGCATGTAACCGGAGCCACGCCAGCCAAAGCCTCTCTCAGCCCGGCTGAAACTAGGACGAATAAAGCACCCTCTCCGAGGGAGACCACGAAGCATGGCCTGCAAAGAGCTGTTTGTGAAGGAAGCCCACTTGAGAATGAAGCTCTTCAGATAGGGAGCAAAGCTGGAAGACAGAGAGTCCTGACAACATGAGGTCCCTTGGATGCAGCCACTCCAAAAGTTAAGATTTATCCCTGGACTGTTTACTTGTGTTGTAACAAATAAAATTCTAAAGTGGCCCTTTCTTCTAGTACACACACCTTCTCCTAGTTACTCAATCAAACACCAATCTGGCTGTTGCTGCTGTGAAGGAATTTT